AAGCTAAAATATTAGCTTTCACAGCTAGTTGCTTTATTTTGTACACAACTGTTATGGCTAATTTATTAGCTCTCCTTGCTAAGAATTAGCTAGGAGAGCTAATGTTCTCATCTAAGGCCATATTAGCGAATGCATTAGCTAATTTAGCTAATTCTTTTTTTTCCGTGAACTTGAAGGTGTCAGCTAGCTTTTACTCTCGATACGAAAAGAGAACCATGCGGAGACCAGAAAATAATTTCTTTGGCGCTGGAGGAACCGTGTCCGAGTGCCTGAGTGAGTGTCGCGCCATGCCCTTTCCCTAACATTGGCTAACAATACTGCAGGCCCCCTGCCCAACAGTACTATGGGCCGCCGACGCCGGCCACTCTGCCCCCTCTGCCTACCACCCCGACCCCGCCCCCCTAGCTCATCCTCCGCCGAATTGCAAGATTGTAAGCTACACGCAGCCATGAGCAAATGACAGCTTAATATGTGAGATATTTTGAACACAGATCATAGACCTAATTTTAAATTTGTATCATCTGCTTTCAAGATCGATTCTTGATTATTTTACCTCTTCACAACTTGGTGTATGTAAAAGTGAATTATTGAAAAGTAATCCGCGCCAGTTTTCGCCACCACCAATGTGACAGTTTTCGGGGTTTGGTCTGCGCAGTGCGGTGCAGTCAAAGCGGTGCTGTCACACCGACTGCCACACCTGCCCTCGCAACTTTTAGACTGTCCGTGAAGTACTTTCATTCTGCCCCGCTCGACTGGCGGGGTCGCTATGACTCCTAGACGCCCCCCCCCCTTTCTGGACCCCTTTTGCGCACCGCTCCCACTAACCCTCCCCTCCCACTAACCCTCCCCTCCCATGAGCGTTTCACTTTCCCCGCGGTGGGGACGTGTCTTGAAGGGGCTGCAACTCGTCACGGCACAGACGGTGCGATTGAGAAAGGGAAAAAAAAGTGGGAAATGTAACGGGGATAAATCGCAGATCTGCGGGAACGTGATAGGCGCCTATGTGTGAGTGACACGAGCGTGACCAAAGACGTGTTTGTTTTTACACACAGAAAAATGTGTTGTTGATTTACGTGTTTTAAATGGACAATGCAATACACATCGTACAGGAAAAACATTTACAGTAGTCGAAACAAGTCTCTTTTGCATTTGCTTCATACCAAAGTTGCATTTTAAAAATTCAAAATTAAAGAAAAGTGTGTTTTTTTATCATTCTTTATAGTGTGTTTTTTAATATAATTTTTTGCTTTGCGATTAACCGTGCGACCAGGCACTGTGTCAGGGTGAGTACTAACCTTGGTGTGCACGCAGTCAATTGGGTTGCCCACGTACTGGCGGGTGGTGACGATGAGGCTAAAGGCCACCAGTATCATGACGGTGAAGGTGTAGTGCAGGCGGAACACGGGCGCGTCGATGTGGATGTGGCTCACTTTGATGAGGTTCTTGAGGCCCCGGAAGATGTCCAGCATGTCGACGCACCTGAGCCAAAGGACTCCGGGGCGGTGCTGGGGGCGGGGCGGGGGACGGG